GGCTCTTAGTGATTTTTTGTTCTTCTGTTATGCAGTTGTGGAGTTTCTTAATTACCATGTGGCCATGGTATTTTTTTTTTTCTTTCATGTGTTCTGTATGTTTTTTGTTTGTTTTGTTGGGCCTGGATAGTGGTATTTGTTCTGGCAGTTATACCTACTCTCCAGTGGTGCTGTGGTGGCGCCCTTGAGGCTCGAAGCATGCTAGAACAGTAGATGGTGTCTGACCTCTTGTCGTGCTGTCCTGACTGGCGCATAAGTGCCGGCGGGAGCCTTCCGCAGGTTTTAAGAAAGAATAAGTGATTCTCGGGTGTTCAGCTGCTGAGTAGCGTGGATTACAGGTATGCATTCACCACGCCAGTTGATTTTTGTTTTTTTTTTTTTCTTTTTTTGAGACGCTGACGAGTTCTCGCTCGCAGGGTTCGCCAGGCTGGTATGTTGTAGGTGGTCTCCGTGATCTCAGTGCTCTGCAATGCTTCCGCGCTTTCAGGGGGGGTTTTTACACGCATTCTCCCTGCCTCAGTCAGCCTCGTGGGGGCTGCCGAGTAAGCTGTGGCCACGTAAGCCCAGTGCGCGCTTGCCATCCACGCCCAGCTTACGTTTTTTGTATCTTTTACGTTAAGAGATGGGACTTTCCACCTGTTGTTATGCTCATGTGGATGCGGTCTCGCCCCCGTGCCTCGGATCTCCCGACTCTCTTGTGACTCCGCTCGGTCTCGCGTGTCCTCCCAACAGTGGCCTGGGCGGATTGTACAGGGCTTGAGCCACCGCGCACCTCGGTCTAGTCTACGTTTTTGACATTTTTACGTTAGCGTCGCCTTAGAGATTTGTGTGCGTTTGCCATGTTCGGCCCAGTCCTGGGTCTCGGAACTTTCCTGATCCCTCGAGGTGATCTACCCGCCCGGGGAATGTCCCCGGGTGCCTGGGATTTCAGGTATGCGAGCCACCCACTGCCCAACCAAGACTTAAAAAAAAAAAAAAAAATTCTTAGAAAAGACAAAAAAAGCCAGGTTGGTCGTAGGTGTGCATCCTGTATGTCCCCAGCTATCAGGGGCTGAAGGTGGCCGAGGATCAGCTGGAGACCATGGAATTGCCGGCTCGCAGTGAGCTGTGATTACACCACTGCTTATTCCTGCCTGGACAACAGAATGAGTCCCTAGTTCAAATAAAGCACTAAAAAGAAGATCTTGATCTTACAGGAGTTATGACCTTTCTTTGTGTTTTATCTTTTTTTTTTTTTTGAGACGGGGTCGAGTCCTCGCTGTGTCGCCCGACTGGAGTGCAGTCGGCCGGATCTCAAGCTCCATTGCAAACGTCCGCCTCCCGGGGTTTACGCTCCATTTCTCCGCTCGCATAGCATTTCCCAGAGTTAGTGGGACTCTCCGAGGCAAACGCCACCCGCCCGGCTGTAGTTTTTTGTTATTGTTTCAGTTAGAGATGGGGTCTTTCACCGCGTGTGGTTAATAGCCAGGATGGTCTCGATCTCCTGACCTCGTGATCCACCCGTCTCGGCCTCCCAAAGTGCTGGGATTACAGGCTTGAGCCACCACGCCCGGCCGAGTTATGACCTTTCAATGAATGGTATATAAAGGAAATAAACTTAACATTGCAATTGGTCCATCATGACACTCAATGAAAAAAAGCTACTTTTATAGCTTCGTCACTCTGGCCTGTCATAGTATTTTAAAATCTTCATTCTGCATATGGCAGACCTCTCATCTTGTAACATCTTTATATTTGATGAGCAGACCTACATGCTTTTATTAGAATTTCTAGCACAAATGCTGAAATGGACCAGGTCAAAACCTGCCCCATGGCACGTCACCATTGAGTCTCCTCCAGATCCTTGGGTTAGGAGAAATGAGTTCAGTGTCACATTTTAAAGTGCGACAGCTAATATGCCAGCTAATGTAGAAGATGTCAGAGGAGTGTAGTGTGGGATGAGCTTGAAAGGGGAGCAGCAACTGTAGTAAACAGCATGGTGGTTCCTCAAAAAATTAAACAGAATCACCATATGATCCAACAATTCAGTTTCTGGTTATATACCTCAAAGAATTGAAAGCAGGGACACAAACAGATATTCATATGCTCATGTTAATAGCAGCATCATTCAAAATAATCAAACAGTAGAAGTAACTCAAGTGTCCATCAACAGATGAATGGATCAACAAAATATGGCATATACACATAATGGAATATTATTTAGCTTAAAGTAGGAATTTGCATAATGGAATATTATTCAGCTTAAAATAGAAACTTGGTATGTTTTTTGTCTGTTTGTTTTGAGATGGAGTCTTGCTCTGTTGCCCAGGCCGGAGTGCAGTGGTGTGATGTTAACTGCACCTTCCACCTCCTGGGTTCAAGCGATTCTCATGCCTCAGCCTCCCGAGTAGCTGGGACTACAGGCGCCCACCACCACGCCCAGCTAATTTTTGTATTTTTAGTGAAGACAGGATTTCACCATGTTGGCCAGGCTGGTCTCAAACTCCTGACCTCAAGTGATCTGCCTGTGTTGGCCTCCCAAAGTA